AATAAAATTAGTAGAGTTAACATCCAAGCCACATCAGTGTCGGTCGAAGATTCACAAACCCGATTATTTCATCTGCTGTTTATTGCACTAGAATAAAATATTTACAGCTGATCATTTTACTGAATATTTTAAGATGCTTGGATATCGTTTCATTACTACTGGGGATTATAATGCCAAACATCGTAAATGGAGCCAAATTCGTGACAATCCTAAACATTGAACACTTTCGAATAAAAGAAGAAATTGAAGCAGATATAGAGAAGAAATAAAAAAATCCGTTAACCTAAACTTGCCCCTTAAAGTGCTAGCGACATAGAAAATGCAGTTGCTCACTTAGCTACAGTTATTCGAAAACCTGCTTATCCGGCAAGCTGATTCGGCATCCACCCCAGAAATTACCTACAGAACACAACTCCAAGTCCTATACTGCTCACATAAATATACTTAAATTGGAAAACTGAAAACTGCGAAAAAGGTGGCAGCTCACTAAGTATCCAGAAGATAAAACAAATCTTAATATAACATGCAGACTACTAAAAAGAAAATTGATTTAACATAAAGACAATGGAATCAATGAATATTTAAAGAACCTTCTACCTGCAGATGATACAAATTATTCGCAGTGAAAAGCAACAAAAAAAACTTAAAAATAATGAACAAATGAATGTATCAATCAGGAAAAAAAATGGAAATTAGACTAAAATTGACACATAAAGCATGTACTTTTGCAAATCATCTATGCGAGTTAGTTCAACCTTATCAGAAGAAAGCTAAAAATGAGAAGGCTATTCATAAAGTCGTAAATTCACTATATCAAATGGCTCTTCTAATAAATCTGCTAAGAAATATAAAATCAAAGAACTAATTGATAATCTGGAGTTAAAAAGTAACGAAGAAGTAAGTTTAATCACATATATTTAATTCAATATTAAAAACTGGGTAATAAGGATAACACGGAAATATTTTCATATCGCTCAATTAGCTTATTGTCTATTTTATCTAAAGTATTTAAACGGCTTTTTCTGAGAAGACTAGAGCTTATTTTATATGACAGTAATGTTTTATCAAATTATTAGGTTGGGTTTAGAAAACAAGGTATTATCGAGCAAATTCATAGGGTAGTAAATACTATCAGAAATTCGCTCGAACGCGAAAATTACAGTACTTCTGCATTTCTAGATATCTCTCAAGCATTCGACAAAGTTTAGAATGTAGGTCGTATCTCCAAAATTAAATCTATACTTCCTTATCTTATAAGTTCAATAGGTTTTAAGATAATAACTGACAGATTGATTTTTTCAAGTCAAAAGAGGTGGGGAAATCACTAACCTGCTTCCAATATGTTCCGGATTTCCAGAATGAAGCATACGAGGAGCTACTCTTTACTTAGTAGGTATACACGCCGGATCAATAATGACCGATACAACACTTGTTACGTATACCGACGACATAGTTATCGTGGCTTCAAATTCTACAGAAACTGAAGCATCCCAGGTATTGCCAAATCACCTGCTTAAACTAAAAAGTTGCCGTAAACTTTTCTTATTCGATACATTACTATTTTCGGCCGCCTTTGCAGGATCTCTTGGCATTTACCTCTAGATTTTAGAGGAATCGCTAATGGTTTGGACTCAACTTTCATTGGTTTTCCTGTTCAGTTGGTGTTCTTATATTTTCTTTTTTTGCTAATGGTTTTGGTACAGTCTTTTTTTGGGTTTATTTTTCCAGTTTACGTTATAATGACAACGTTTTGTTTATTAGGTCGTTCTTTTTGACTTCTACCATTTTGTTTTTTTTTACCGGTTTTCTTGTTTTAGTGGACTGTCCGTCCATCGTCATTTGTTTTCAGTTGTCATTTTATTGCCATTTTATTGTCTTTACTATATTTGCTAGTATTAAAACTGGGTTTTTCGATTGTTTTTCCTTTTTTGTTGCCCGTTTTTCCGCTGATCGATTTTATATTATTTCCAGGTATTTTTGAGTTATTTTTGTATCTCTTCGTCTTTTGTCGCGATAGTTTTCACCAGCTTTTTCATCTTATTCAAGAGACGTTTATTACCTCTTTTTATTTTGTCCAATTGCGCAACCAATGTTTCCATTAATTCTGTTTCCTTAATTAGACTGCATTTCTGCTTTTATGCTCTCTTTCCATCTTTTTATTAATTTGTCGTCATCAATGCTGAGTTCTGAGGTCTCATTGAAGACGAGAATAACTTTATCTCTAGTATATTCGCCCGAACTGACACGTATAAGTTATCTGTTAGTAGTGTATACTGAGAATAAACTTATTCTAAACTTGTAGAATAAAATTTTTTGGCATTATACTGTGTATAGCTTATACTATGTATATACATACATGAATGATAGAACCGGCCCTTATAAAGATGAATAACGCTTGCGATTAGATCGGTCACGCCTGATATGTTGAGTAATGTCAGAAAAAATTTCTAATTAGATTAGGATGTTGCTCAGACGTTCGATGGCATTTTAAACATCTGCTACATTTACATTGTCTAATATATTTTTTGCTATTGTAACAAATTACTGTATTTAAGGAACTTTCTTATTTTTTAAAATTTTTGCAATAAATCAGAAAATACTTATTAATTTCAAAACAATTCAAGATGAGTATTATGAACAGTATCAATACAAAATCCAAAATCAAAAAATTTTATTTTCAAAGTCCGAAAATACAAAATACGAAATCCGAAAATTTGAACTTTAAAATCCAAAATCCGAAATCCAAAATCCAAATCAAAAAATTTGTACTTCGAAATCCGAAAATACAAAATCCGAAATCCGAAAATTTGAACTTCGAAGTCCAAAATCCGAAAATTTGAACTCCGAAATCCGATATCCAAAACCCGAAAATCCAAAATCCGAAAATTTGAACTTCGAAATCCGAAATTCAAAATCCGAACTCCGAAATCCAAAACCCGAAAATCCAAAATCCGAAAATTTTAACATGAACAAGTTATGATTAGTATCAACGTGCCCTATCAAGTCCCCTTGACGTTGGCGATTAACATGGCGAAACTGTCTCTGTCTCGAGCTATTCTAAATAGTTGCTCAGCTTTCTTTATTCCTGTCCACTCCCTGATATTCTTCAAGCAAGAGGCCTGCTTTCTACCAATTCCTCTGCGTCCTTCGATTTTACCCATCATAATAAGTTGGAGAATATTATATCGGTCTCCCCTTACTACGTGTCCAAAATAGGCCATCTTTCTACATTTGATGTTATCAAGCAGCTCGCGAGCAGCATTTGCTCTCTCAAGGACTGCCACATTTGTCAGCATAGCCGATCATGGAATTTTTAGTATACGTCTGTGCAGCCACATTTCAAAGGCCTCCAGACGATTAATGGTGGATATTGTTAATGTCCATGCTTCGACACCGTATAAGAGGACTGACCAAATGTAACATTTAACCATGCGCTTTCGAAGTTGAAGTTGCAAGTTATCGTTACAGAAGACTGACCTCATTTTTAAAAATGTCGTGCGGGCTATCTCAATTCTACATTTTATCTCTTGATCTGGATCTAGTTGTTCAGTAATATGGCAACCAAGATATTTAAAACTGGACACTCTTTGAATTATATGACCATCGACATATAATCATGCATCTTGATGTGCTAAACGGCTAAACACCATGTGTCTTGTTTTTGAACAGTTTATGTTTAGGCCAAACTCTCTTCCCACTTTATCAATGGCATTTAAAAGGCATTGTAATCCATTCATGTCATTACTTAAAATAACTGTATCGTCTGCATATCTGATTGTATTTATCAGAATTCCATTAACTTTCACGCCCCATTCCAAATTATGATTGGATTAAACATCATTGAAAAGTTTGACCAGTATTCCAATGTTCTCCTCATGTATAAGCTTTAACATCTTTGTCGGTACGTTATCAGGGCCAACGGCTTTCTTGTTCTTTGCTAACTTTATAGCATGCAGTATTTCTGATTTTAATATTTCTGGTCCTTCACCTTCAACTCAAGTATCCGGTTCTTCGGGTCTATCATCATTATACAGTTCACTTATATAATTACACCAGGTTGTTCGAATTTCATGTTCGTCTATTATCATTTTTCCCGACGAATCGGTTATAGTATGTGGAGTTTTCTTATGATAAAGACCAGCTACTTCTCTAACTTTTTTAAACATATTAAATGTATCATGTTTTTCATTCAACTTTTCTAATTCCTTGCATTTATCCTCCATCCATTTTTCTTTATCCACCTTTATTTTTTGTTTAATTAGTTTCTGTTTTTCCATATATTTTGTCTTGTTACCTTTCAGTTTCCTTCTCTGCTCCATTAATTCCAGGATTTCATCAGTCATCCATTGTTGTTTTTTGTGCCTGTGTAACGTTGTTGAATATTTTTCTATTACTTTCAAGGTAAGATCTTTAAATGTGTTCCATATTTCTGTGTTGATTTCATTTATTGATTTCTTTAGATCATTGTTTAAGTCATTTTCTATTAACGTTTTGTTGGATATTGAGATATTTAATTTTAGTGTTTTGGGGCTTTCTTGGACTTTTTTGAGCTTCACTTCGATGTCAGTTATTACAGGGTTATGGTCTGAACCGATATCTGCACCAGGATATGTCGTTACTCTGGTGACGCCATTCTTAAATCTCTTGTTTACCAGAATATAGTCTATCTGATTTCTAATCATATGTAGTGAATTATCTGCTGGTCACCTCCATGTGTATAACCTTCTTTTGTGTAATTTGAACCATGTATTTGCGATTATCATGTCATGTTATTGACAGAACTGGTTGTGTTTTATTTAAAATTAGAAAGTTGGTATTGACCACTGTTACATGACACACCCTGTACGAAAAGTTTTTATTGCAAAAATAGGCGCAACAAAAATATAATTTTTAATTATCAAATTTATTCCCTTTGGCTGTTCCACCCTGTATAATATCCACTTATTTACTATTCTCACTCGGTTACTTTTTCATCTGTTGCCGTACTCATAAAATATTCATTAAAATTAATAACACGTTCACTCAATTTAGCAACACTTCATACAAGATAAGATACATAAAGTGTTAGTCAGGAACTAGTATAAAATCAGTTTACAACAGTGTTTCGTTTAATTCGAATCGTAACACCGGTGGTTCTAAGTGGACAAATTTAGTAATCCAAAATGGCACATACATATAAACTTATATATTTTGACGTCACCGGAAAGGGTGAACCAATTAGATTGCTTTTAAGCTATGGAGAAATTCCATTCGAAGACAAACGTGTCGAGTTTGGGGAGTGGCCAAAAATTAAGCCAAGTAAGTACTTATTATTATAGCTTTAACAAAATATAATATACCTCTTTATTAAAGCTGAAAAAACAGTTTTCTATTTATACATTTTTATACCATTTTAGTTTATATATTTAACCGACGAATCTAATTACGTTAACCGGTTAACCTTAATCTAACCAGTAACGGCTCGTGATGAGTTCTGGGGGCAAAAATTAATTAAAAAACTTTTTTTATGCAGTTTTAAAAACGATTTTTTGATTACGACCGAATAACATTTTATAAGATACGTCCATAAATTATGGTTTGTTCCATAAAATAAACTATAGTTGGTAAAAACTAAATCCTCTTCAATATTTTTTAAACAATAAAATTTTCGATAACGTCACTATAATTCTTTATCTAATTCAGCTATTAATTTTATATATACTATTTTTTAATGTGTTTTATGCGCTTAAATGTAAAAAAAAACAACGTTCTTATCCTTATGTAGCCATTGGGTTAGTAACAATATTTTTTTATCTGTTTGCGTTTACAGAATATGTTATATGGAACAATTATGTATTTCAAACCAATGTCTTCTTTTGAAAAAACTTGTCATTGTTGCGAAGAATAAAGGTTTTTATTAAAATAGACAAACCAATGATTGGTGAAAAAACTCCTTTTATTTCCATATAACGAACTTTATTAGCTCACAGGTATTTTAATTTGATGTACCTCCACATTACAGCAGCGTTACTATAGACTTAAGGTAGACTTCCTTGAAGCAGAAGATATCACTGTTCTGGAGTGGCCTGCTTGCTCACCTGACCTTAATCCTACAGAACATTTGTAAAATATGCTTAAAAGAAGAATTAATGCTCGCCGATATATTCCACAACACACCGCATAGCTATAGGAGCATACCCACGCGAATTTAAGCTTGCATAAGGACTAAGGGTAGAAACACTGGCTAACAAAAAATCTAAATAAATAAAAGCAATTTAAACAGTATTCGGCTTAACCTTCGAAAATTGGTTTCGTGCATTCGATTCATGAGAGTGTTTTGTGAACTAATGCGATCATAAAGAAATGAAAAATTTTGTTTGAAAAATGAATTGTAGAGAGTTGTAAATTTAAAAAGTTTTCATTCGGCAAATATTGAATGAAATACGTCCAATTTTGCTACTCGTGAGTTTTGGGGGTCGCTTAACACGAATATCATGTCGGTGAAGGTCTACAATGTATCTGGTGCTCAGTGTGAACAGTGCATATCTCGTCTTCAGGACTTTTATGCTGATTGCATACAAAATCATTCGAAACTCGGGATTTTTCGAGGTTGCTGAACATGAATATCATTTCAGCCAAGGTGAGGAATGCAAAAAAACATCGGGAACATTGTACGTTGATTTAAATACTTTAACATTTTCATATTTTTCTTTAGCCTTATCCATTTCTTCCTTGACCTTATCGTGTTCTTTGTCCAACTCCTGTATTTGTTGTTCCTTTTCTGTTATACCTCCCTGTATTTTATTATAATCCATTTGATGCCTCAGAAGGTACTTCTTATGCTTACTTAAAATCAAGTTGGCGCCTCCATTCATCCTTTTTAGCTCTATAAGATGTATCTATTTCTGGTCTATCTTTTGTAGCTTAATATATATTTATCAAATAAAAATTTGATAAATATATGTAAAAAAATTTAAAAAAAATGTACAGTGAAAATAGGTAAAGAACTCCTTACCTGAAGTAACTTAAAGATAGCATCAGGGCTACCAACTTTTTTAAAAGCTACCAACATTAGATATTAAAAAAAAAATTAAATTTCAGTAAACAAAATTTATTTTACACTTTAATGAGATTTTCTCTATGGTATAAGACAAAGTTACCTTTTTGAATGTTACAGTTTTATCTAGCACAAGTTGTTCTGGTAGTTTTTTTACTATTAGTTACACTTTCTATTAACATTTTTTTGTAATTTCTTTGTAACTTTATTTTGTAATTACCGACACTAAAATCACAAAAAATGAACAGTATCTCAGCCCACTCAGAATCTTTAATTTTTATTGACTTGGAGTGCGGGGTAAAAGCGCAAAAATATATTATAAAAAGATTAGGGAGAAGTTTAACCATGTGATATTGTAAATATAATGTTAAAGATTTATAAATTGAAATTTTCTGTGTCGTATACTTTTTTGAATGTGCCCTAGAATCTAATAATAATATCTTCTAACTTTCAACACATTTTTTTAAATAAAATGATTTTTTAACAAGTAACATAACAGTATTTTTTCTTTGTAATAAAGCTTTCACTTTACAAACACTTTATTTTTTCGTTGTATATTAAAATTGTTATACATTTTAGCTACTCCTCTTGGACAACTTCCAGTGTTGGAGGTTGACGGTAAAGCAATCCCCCAAAGCACTGCAATCTGCAGGTACTTGGCATCAATACTAAAACTCGATGGTAAGGATGCGAAAGAAAATCTTGCACTAGATGTTGCGTTGGAAACTCTGTTTGATTTACAAAAACGTGAGTATTTTTAATTTAAATTACTCCATTATATATAAAATAAGTATTTTAAAAGGTTTTTTAACAAAAATTATTTTTTAAATTGTATCCACAGGCATATAACTCCTTCTGAGTGTTTAGTCTCTTCTTTTCGTCAACCACTATGTCCTTTATATTTCTTTCAAAATTTTGTTTTGGTTCCTGCTATTTTTTTAAATTTTTTATTATTGAATGCGCTCTGTTATTGAATTTTATCACATTTCATTATCTTTTTACAGTTACATTCTACGTTATTTGAGCTTTTTATCCTTATATTGAAATATATCTTTCTCTCTCTCTCTCTCTCTCTCTCTCTCTCTCTCTCTCTCTCTCTCTCTCTCGCTCTCTGTTTAAATATGTTCCAAGCAATTTTTAACTAATAAGTAAGAAATATCATGAATCATGAATGTGTTGCTTGTGTGAGTCCATTTCAAATAGGTAAAGAAATAATAAAGAAGACTTACTCACAATCAATTTAATTTAACTATCAGACGACCGGTTTCGCTTTCTACAATATGCAAAGCATCTTCAGGTCTCGATACAAAGTTAAACAAATGCTGAAATGATAAAAACCCATATTAGGGTGTTGTCTAATAAAGATAAAAAAAAATTAGATGTTATAAATTACAATAATTATGCCAATATTACATGTCTGTAGTTTTATTTAAATGAGTAAGTTGAATAAAAGGTATAAAATTTTTTTAAAAAGGTTAAACAGACAAGGTAAGGCCCACAAATTGTTATAAAATAGTCTCTTCGATTGTAATAAATTAATAAATGAGCAAATAAATAAATAAAATAAACATTACTTACATGCCGGTACTCTATTAATAGATGGATGGTAGAACATGTTTGAAACTACTTTATATTGTTGAATGGAGAACTCAATACTATTATTGCAGTTGTTTGACAGTAAACGGGAAGTTCTTGAGGAGATAGATTTGATCCAATGAATTTGAGATATGTGTGAAATTGTTTGTTAAATGTAAGTGATGTAATATACTATTGTGTTATTAAAGGCTATTTATACTTATTCCAGAGATATATTTTTTTGAAATGTGTGTTATTTATTGAGTAATTGTTTTATGCAGGTGACAGTTTTATGACAATGAATAAGTGTAGATGTAAAAATTGTGTGGGTGTGCAATTATTTTCCAACTTGTAGTTATCAAATTACTTTGATAAAGTTCTATTGGCAATGAGTTAATTATTGGAATAGTCAAGTAAATAAAATGGTAAAATACAAACAATTAAGGATGATTTAAACACACTAAAACAGAAAACACTTAGAAGGGACGAAACAAACATTGAATTTGAAAGGGGGAAGGACTTTAATGCACTACATCATAGTCTTGGGCACAATGAGTTTTTTTATTGTTGTATCTATTAGATTTTAGTGGTAAATTTTGACAGATGTAGGTTTGCATGTGACAGTTCTTCTTCTGTTTCTCAATACTGTAAGTTAAGTTATCTAGTTTTATAAAATATGCTGTTATTAATGAATGTGCATAAAACTGTTTCGATTTTAGATATCAAAAGTAAATTGATGTGTTTAATATTGGCATACTTTAACAATCTTTAATTAATCAAATATATTTTATTTATTTATTTGCTCATTTATTAATTTATTACAATCGAAGAGACTATTTTATAACAATTTGTGGGCCTTACCTTGTCTGTTTAACCTTTTTAAAAAAATTTTATACCTTTTATTCAACTTACTCATTTAAATAAAACCACAGACATGTAATATTGGCATAATTATTGTAATTTATAACATCTAATTTTTTTTTATCTTTATTAGACAACACCCTAATATGGGTTTTTATCATTTCAGCATTTGTTTAACTTTGTATCGAGACCTGAAGATGCTTTGCATATTGTAGAAAGCGAAACCGGTCGTCTGATAGTTAAATTAAATTGATTGTGAGTAAGTCTTATTTATTATTTCTTTACCTATAAGTAAGAAATATTTTGTCATAATGTTAATTTAATTACATCTTATACATTTATACAGTTTAATTTTATAAATACGGTAAAATCTCACTGATTCAGCTCAATAAAAGCCAAAGGTTGTCGGATAATTGAAATGTTCGGATAACTGGATTGTATAGCAAAATTTATAATTAATAAAATAAATTATTTTATAAAGGAAATAGGTCCAACGTTTGCATTTTTATGTTCATGTTCTATTCGTTTTTTTTTATAACTAATAGAACAAATATCATCTCACACTTAACTAACTACGTAGTCAACATAGTTTTAGATAATCTATAATGAGGTTTGTTTTTGTGCTTTTAGTCTTCTGTCATAATGTTCTCTGTTTCTTCATTCATTTTAAACCAAGAATTTAAATTATCACTTGACTCGAATCCTGTTTTTGATAAATTTTGAAACCAATCCAATTTGTGACACAGCATTCATTGTGTGATAATATGTTTTTCACTGTATCATATTGTATGCTATGTCCCTATCCTAAAAAATAATATAAATGGGCAATTTATATTTATACAAAATCTCGTATGTACTTTTTATACATTTTGGATAATATTTTGATCCATCGACTGCCATAAAGTATGCAGTTTGATGGTAATAAGATAATTTGAATATTACCATCACCTGATCTAAGTTCTTGTTCATTTGGGTGATTTAGAGTCTAGAGTATTGTCATGTACGAGTAAAGCTTTTGTGGCAAATGGTGTCTTTTTATAAACTTTTTCACTTCTGGGACAAAATCATTTTGGTATCATTCACTAAATACTTCTCTACCAATTTTTAAATTTATTCTTGTACCCGACTGCCAGAAAATATATATTCTATTCTTTGTTTCACGTTAAGAAAATAACATTACGCTTATGGAGATCAGTGTTGCCAAAACTCTCAAACACTCTCTTTTGCACGGATGTCCAAGATATTCCCTTTGCTTGATTTTTAAATTTTCATTTTCAATTAATATTTAACTGTAAAGTCAGAATAACTACTAAATAAAAGTCTTATTATCATTATGTAGTGAGAGACGACATAAAATAGCTGACATACGCACATCGTATTATTTTAAGTTGCAATAATTAGTAATTAGATATACGCATTCCAAGCGGTCAATATTTTCTACTGATTTATATGATTCATGGCATATCGTATTCTCACCGAAAAACAAATAAACTGTCGTTACTATAATTAAAATAAGATAAAATAAAATTATCTTTTGTAAATACTATTTATCTAATTAAAATCATTTTCCCTACTTTTCATATCTTGTTTCGAATGGGCACTTTTGGTCAATTACGTTAAAAAACATTAATTTAATTCATGTTTGTGGAAACGAAAATACAAATTATACAAACCTAAATTGTGCTTGTGTGTGTCGTGGCAACGCCGTGTTGCTATCGTCCATAAGAAATACATGGCCCTATCTTCGCAATGTTATTTTCTAAACGTGAAACGTAGTATAGTAGCATTTGATTCCGGTATAAATGTGATTTTATTTTTATTTACTTTACAACCCGGTGCGCGTTTTTTAGAGGATACAAATGTTTTGTTGGATAACTGTCTTCAAAACCGACCATTCTAGTCTGCCTTATAGATTTGGTCAAAAAGATTAGTAATTTCTAATACTTTGTCTTTAAAATGCTGAATAAATACAGACTTTTGCCCTATATTAGTAGCAGACAGACACCAAATCGTTTTTTTTTTTCTTCAATTTATCCAGTCATCCAACATTTGCACGAAAATCAGATCCCTTTGTAATTATAAAAATCGATTGTTTTTTTTTTTCAAAACTTCTCCATTTACAGGAATGTGTTCAGAAACCTCCATCATGTGACAATTTATTCACCAACTGGTAATGTTTTACGCTTTCTTGGTTCAGATTTCATGTCTTCCACGTGATTTACTATATTTTTTTTCTTCTAAGATCGTGTTTAATAGTAAGTCCAACTCAGTAAATATTTCCCTCACTATGTAACTTCTTTAAAATATCAATTTGACTTTCAAACCTTTTTTTTAATTGCCTTTTAGTAAGAGCCTTAGAAGGTATCCATTAAATTCTGGCAGGTAACGGTGCGGGAAATCTTTTTTGAACGTCTAAATTCTGGAAAACCATTCGCCTCTCGAAATCTCCCCCCTTATTTGCCAATCTCTGGCAGTTAAAAATTTGAGCATGAGCGTCTGGTACTCCACAAAAAGTAGTCTGTCGAGGCAGATTTGCCTATTTTATTTGTGAAGGTGCTGTCCGGCCAGAAACTGCACCAGGAAGTAGTCTAGTTTCCTGAATTTACATTCCCATCATGTTCTCAGATCGGGAATAAGCTACTTCAGTCACTTTGTCTTTTTGCTACCATTCGCCCATTTTCTCTGCCAGTCTACTATCGTTATTTCTCTCTCATTCGCATATATATTCCATCCATCCTCCTCGCATTCACCCTCGCTCGCTCGTTACACAACAAAACGATCGGTATCACCGCTCCAATGACATATAGAGCCTCATTTGAAACCATCCTATATGCTCTAGATACCCTGAGGAGCATTAGCCTTTGCGAAGTCTCCATCAGCTTAGCGTATTTCACAGTATTCAATACACTACACTAAACGGTGACAGCGTAGGTTATCATCGACTAGAAAACTCCATTTAGCACCTTTCTTTGGGTGCTACCTGGGCCTCCAATGTTTGGTATCAACCGTATTAACGCCTCCAGATTTCGGTTCGCCTTCTCTACCGTCTTTTAGATGTGTAATCCAAACCTTAGTCCTTCCAACAACTAGACTCCCAAATACTTAATCGATTTAACCGGTGCCACCTCCACACCTTCCACTATAAAGCGAAGAGAGGAGTTTTTATAGCTCCCTTTGAGAACAACCACCTGTTTTCTGAGGCGCTAACTGTAGATGGTTCTCTTTGATCCACCTACTAATGCGACGCAGGACTGTGTTAGCCGTATTAGCCATGTTTGTTTTCTGACTCGCCTTCGAAACCAGTGCGAGATCATCGACATAAGCTACAAGAGTGCATCCCCTTGGCATCTGTAGCCTCAACATCCCGTCGTATAGGACATTTAACAGGATGGGACCTAGTACTGAACCCTGCGGAACACCCTGCAACAAACTGATGCTGGTTTTTCTCTTATGGACCTCTCAGTAAAGTATCTGTCAATTATATTGACCAGGTACTCACTAACGCCCATTTCTTTCAACCTCTACATGATTTTTTCCAGGATGCCGTGTTAAAGGCATTCTTAACGTCAAGCAGGATGAAAGCCACCCATCTCTTTGTATCCTACGTAACTAAAGTGGTTTTTTCTGTGACCTCATCTATGGTGAACCTTTTGACCCTAAAATCATATTTAGCGCATTTTTTTCTTCTAGCTCTCGCTCAAGGCGGCCTTTTACAAGCTGCTCGAACAATCGCTAGATATCGAACTAAGAAGGCAAATTGGCCAAAATCTTCTTCCTCTTGCTCTTCACCTTTATCTTTCGGGATAAGGACAACCTTAGCTTCTTTCAACCTTATTGGAAACTGCTGTTGTTCAAACAGTTTTTTTAACAATCTCAGAAAAACCGTCGGTTATCGTCGCGGCAAGTTTTGCTGTCTTCGGCATGACTGTATCTATGCCAGGTACCTTTCGGATCTTCATCCGTCCAACAGCCTCGCCGAGTTCCAACTCTGCAAAAGGTTTCTCATCTACGAAACCAATAATACTTTCACGCCTATCCTTCACCTGAGAAAAGAGTTCCCGTATTAAACGGAGTTTCACCTCCTCATGCAGGGAGTAGGGTGTCTTTTTCTCCTTCAAATTGGTACAGACAATCTTGAAGCCCTGCCCCAAGATATATCTTTCGAGATCCTGAAGCAGGTTACTCCACCTTTCTTTCTTAGATCTTCTTATATTATTCCTGTATAGATTCTGCATTCGCTTTAATTAATTTATTCTCTCTTCCAAACCTCCTACTTGTATTCTTCTTAACCTCTCACACTCTCTTCTTACTCTCATGCAATTTGTCCTCAGATTTTCAAGCTGCTCGTTCAACCAGTATGGTTGTTCTCTTTCATACCCCCCATCTGATCTTAGTCAAGCCAAAATCATCTACAAAAACCTCCTCATTTAAACATCTTTTTAAATTAATATCCCCATTTTTATGTTTCTGTCTTTTGCTAGTTATTTCAAGTCTCACATACTTGTGTAAGCTGAGCGCTTCTTCTTCTAAAACAGTCCAGCTTTCGACCATGTTTAGAAATGTCCTTGAAACCATTGTGATTTCCAGAAAGGATTCACTATTACCTCTCACTTTACTTTCAAACCTAGAGCCTTGTGTTGCTGTTTACTTGAAGTTTTTAACTATAATTCTCTTTTAAAAGAGGAGATAAATATGTGATACATATTTATCTGCTCTTTTAAGTGAGAATTATAGCTAAATATGTATGTAAATAGGTACGCACCATAGACGTAACATAGACCAAGCATACCGGCTGCCTGCTGACGACAAGTTCGCAAATTTTTTTCTAGCCCATTATTTCGAGTAGCTTACGTACTTTTACTGCTCCCTACTTAGAAGATATTATCGTAGCTTTACCATTTGTAAGAGTGAGACAGAACGAATGATGAAAACAAAGATGGTGTCGTCACTTAGCTCTATAGACTACTATAAATAAGAGGGTTCAGTCTACATTAATAGTATAACTAATCGCCACGCTAGTAGACACACGGGCACCTAATCGCGCAACTTATTTGATATACTGGGGTAATATCGCTGGTTCTTACATATGACTTTCAGTCGTTGCTCACGCAGAGAGAAACACGTGGGAAAGGAAAACTATTCAAAAGTTTTTCCATACATTTTTTTTTTTGATTATTTAGTTCAGATCAGAAGGCTTATTTTCATATTCTTTTGATTAATTACCTTTTGTAATGTACTATAATAGTTATTTATGTACCAAGGGTATTAAATAGTGATGTTTATGCCCAGAGGGCGACGATGTTACAAACCCGAGGGCCTTTGGCCCGGAGGTTTTTAAGTCGCCCTAGGGCATATATATCTATTAATACCAGCGGTGCATATAAACTTTTATGTCATACCAAATAGGTCTTTATTACATTTACAAATAAATATGTTATGTCTATATCTATGAATATCTATAAATATTTCTATCGTCCGTGTTATGTTGCTACGCTACGGAAATCTTATTATCTTTTTGTTTGTATCTTTACGCCCGTGCGGGCCATAAAGTACACTTTATGCCCACGGGGGTCTAAAGTAAACTATTACGTAGTTGATAACTAAGCAATAAAAACACAATAATAAACTAGTATGACATAAAATAATATATCACCTCGAAAATATGATTTGTTTATTAAAATAATATAAAAAAACACATATTTTACAATAGTATATTAAATTATAATTGTTTTTCTGATAAATGTTCTGAGCAAAATAATATCAAAACAAAACAAATCTGTATTATAATGTTTTAATACAAATAATCGACCTTCAGTGTACTCAATTGTCAATTAAAATAACTAAACAAATTTTTGCTTATTTGCTTTTATGAACTGTTTACTTTTACTTCTTGGCAAAACAGTGCACCAATACTGTATTATTAATTATGATACTTTTATTATTTACATGCTACAAATAAAATTTGAGGCTAGAATCAAATGTTGATTTGTTGACGTGCCAGAATAGTGGTGAGATTCTTATGTATATTATTTTAATACTAGTTTTTTTATAGTTGCCACAGAAATAAAGTATGAAAAGGACGCGGCTAAGAAAAATGAGAAAGTTGAAAAATTGAAACAAGTATTACCTGTTTATTTTGGAAAATTAGAAGAATACGCTAAGAAACACAATGGTTACGTAGCGTATGAAAGGGTAAGTGGACTATAAGAAATTGTTAACGATAATAGAAATAAATTTAGGAACTTCTATATCTGTATTTTTGTCCTTTTATATTGTTTATTTCTATTTGGGCGTGTTAAGCTCATAATTAATTAAAACGTCCGGTAGACATACTTGGCAGACTTTTGGGATCTCTCTCGAAAATCTATTAGACATCTAACGCCATCATACAAAGGTTTAAAAGTGGCGTCATCCTGTTCCTATTAAGAATATTTTGGAAAATAAAAAAACGAGTTTTATATAGTATAAAACCATATTATAGTATAACATATTACATTAATATATTTATACAAAAAACGGGACATCCCAGAAATTTACTGTCAAAATTATAAAATAATACAGCATTAAAGAAATATACAATATATAAAATTACAAATAAAAATAGAGTATATGAATACAATAAATAAGTAAGTACACACTTATTTCCACAAATGACTACATTGCATTTTAATATTTCAGTGCTTTAAATAGTGCCTTACATTATTGAAACATAAGTTAAACATGTATATCTCATGAGCATACATGAGATGTCGCGTCGGACCATACCCATATTAGAACCGTAATTAGTTCGGCGGTGATCGAGGAACATGAAAAAGTGAATTCTGACGTACTAAATGGAAAGGAATATGACCAACAAATTAGCTGAAGCAATTAGGCATATTGTAGTATATACGATTATGAATCTTGCAAATTGAAGGACAAATATTTATAAAAATCCAAACCTAGATCTGTGACATTATTAACCCCCTGAATCAAAATATTATCCAAATTATAATGAAATACAATAGGCTCAAGAGATCGATAAACTGGATCACCTGAAATTTTTCATGATTAATACTTAATTTGGTATTAACAGACCAACAGGTTCACAAATCTGTCTAAATCCTCCTTGCTCCAATGGGCTGTATCACCCTGATGATGAATAGGAAATAATTTTATGTCATCTGCATATTATCCTTTATAAGACTCTACAGTTAGTCAAGAATCTCTTAACACCATTAACAAAAACTGCAAGGAGGGTATCCAATTGGCTCTCCAGAGCTAGAAAAGTACTAAGGTAAAGTAATGATCTTTAGTAGTTTGGCAGACAAAGATTGGTCTTTGCATAAAGGTTTTCAACCCGTAAAGAAGTTCAACAGGTACTTCAAAAAATTCCAGTTTATGCAACAAAAGGCAATGATCTACCCTGCTAAATGGTTGAAATTTTTTTGACTAAGCAAAACTTAGGTAAGATTATAGTTAGATTACGTTGGTTGAACCGAACGTTAGACAAGTGGGCATATTATGGAATCCACTATCAAATAGGTTATAAATATTCATAAATATAATGAGTATAAAAGATATATTCTAAGAGCCATTTTAGTTCGGCTAATGGATTAAGTCCACAGTCAAAAGAAACGAACAGCACACACACAACTGTTTTCAAATAAAAATTTTTAATGTAATTATTATAAACTAGTGAATCATTAGAAGTTAAACTGCCAGGCATGAAAACCATTTTGACCGGTATGAAGTTGTTTCATTAGATTAAATGTTAAAAAATCAGTCACTAAAGGCTAAAAAGTTTTAGTATACGGTAATTAAAACGATAATTGGAAATCAATGATTTATCACCAAATTTGTGTATGAGATTAACAAATGCTCTCTTTAATTATGATGAAAAGTAACTCTCGGTTAGAGATTTATTAAAACTTAGCCACATATGTCTACATGAAGAGAATACACAATTTCTTAAAAACAAGTTAGATATGCTATCTGGTCCTTTTATTGGTATTAAGACACTGTAAGCATGACCGAATGTCACAAATTTTAATAGTTAAGGAGTAAATACGGCTATGACTGATATCAGGTCTATGACTCCACTAGTCTAGACCGGAAAGAGAAGGACTGTGGACACTTCTAAAGATATTATCAAAGGCATCAACAATTGAGTGCGGCTCACTAAAAACAGGATCATTCAATGTTATGCAACTTGAACTATCAAAATTATTTCTCCTACAATTAACCAATATCCAAAACAATTAAAAATTTCTTCAAAATGGGCAAGGTCTTCTTTTAAGTCTATTCGAAGGAATAAATGTTCCCCTATATTATTTGTAGTTGGCTGATGTTCTTTAGGTGTTGTTGAAAAAGAAATATTGCTGACTTCAACTTTTAAGCAAGCCACAATAATTTCCAATATGCTCAACTTTCTTAAGATGTATTTAATATATAAAATAGAAAATTGATATGAGACATACGAACATAAGTAGATGTTTACAATTTTTCATCACACCTTCATTTTTTTGGATTTTTTTTATTACTAACCCTAATCCTTATTTGGTTTCAGATATCATGGGCTGATATTCTATTTGTTTGCGTGTATGAAGTATTGGTCAATGCTGTAGGTAAAGAAGCCGTAGCTTCTTACCCAAGTTTACAGCAAGTTAAGAAGAATGTTCTATCAGCAAAAGGTATTAATAAATGGATTAAAAATAGACCAGCAGTCGAGGGATATGATTTGAAACAAGATCTTTAAGAATTTTCTATATAATTTTTATTTAATCAATAATTAATATTGGTACTTTCTTTATACACAAAATAAACAAAATATTTACAATTTTTATTTGATTTTTTAATTCGGCTAAGAATAGGGACGGCGGTTGTTGACAAAACACCAGTTTTTTTACTTACGATTTAACCTGGCGGTTCTTCTTCTTATGATGCCCTATCCAATTAGTGGAAGTTGGCGACAATTTTAGCATACTCCTCTCGATCTTGTGTGGCTCTAAAGAGTGCATGGGTATCAAGGTTTGTCCAATCCCTTATATTTTTAAGCCATGAGTATTTCTTTCTTTCGATGCCACGTTTTCCATCTATCTTTTCTTTCATAATAAGCTTTAAGAATTGGTACTTGGAATTTCGAAATATATGACCCAGATAAGCAGATTAGTTCTTCTTATTATTGGCAGCAATTCTCTTTCTCTGCTCATTCGATTTAATACTTCGACATTTGTTGTGTGATCTGTCCAAGGAATTTTAAGTAAGGTATGTGCAGGTAATATGGCCACCATAAGAACTTTTGTCCGTATTTGTGGCCAAATATATATTTTTTTAAAAGTAACTGTTATTACAGTTACATGGGTTATCTAAATATATATTTATTGTATAATTTTTCAAAAATTGATAAAAATATGATATTTATGACTTAATTAAAAAATACTGCTATTGGTCATATTACCAACATGGTGTCGCTAATATGGCCACTCTACAGAAAGTAAATTTTTATATCTAATTATGAAGCTTAACACAAAATAGATTAAAATAGTTTCAGATTTTTTGACAGTTTTATTACATGTTGAGCAAACACAGTACAGAAACTTAATATTGTCTTATTTTTCACAATCAGGGACTAAGAACGTATCAATTTTGTCTTTAGCTGTGAGACCCATGCACTTTTCGTGGATATAAGTGCTACATACGCTACACAGTCTCATATCTACCATCCTGTCTTCCTTGCATAATTTGCAGAACCAAGATTCTTGTTTTTTTGTTTCCTTTTTCTTAGCAGGCAAGGTCTTAAGTTTGGTTTTTGGATTGGGTAATTTTCGTAGCATTGACGAGACTCTTTTACCATCTATAGTATGCGTATTGGCTTCAATATTTTCTGAATCACTTTTTCCAGTACATCTACCGAATAAATCTTTAGTAACAACTTGGGCTCGACTGTTGATAGCTGGTTTTCCAAGCTTTTTGTTATCGTTCTTTATTGCTGCATTTTCAGATGTTTCGAGCATAATTATGAATGAAGTATTTTGAATGTTTGAGAAATCACTGTGATCGTCTTCTGAATCAATAACTTCATCACTGCTAGAATCATGCAAACTAAAGGATAAGTCAGAGTTGCTACTATCAGTGTCTAGAAATGGTTTTTTCCGATTCTTTGGTTAAAAATCCAAAGTAGAGGGACGACAAGAGTTACTACTATCAGTGACCAGACATACTTCTTTTGAGCTATTTTTCGGTTGTAATCCCAAAGTAGAATGACAACGGTAATATTTTTGTTGAATGCCTGAAGTTGATGGTATGAATAAATCATCTGCTTTATTACAAGCGTTAGTTTCTGATAATGTGACATTCTCTTTATCTTCCTGATGTTGGTATGTGATGGTACTAGGGGCAAACGCTATCTCTGGGATAACTTCTGGGTAGAATGGATAAATTCCCGTTGAAGAAAACCCCGATTTTATATTAGATGGTGTCATTTTTTTGTCCCAAACTGTAAAAAAAATTGCCCCACATCTCTGTTTAATAATAACACGATCGCTATGAATGGAATAATATTTCATAACTTCATCATCCCAGTAATATTCAAAGGCTCTAAATACAGCTTTGTCCATTGGTTGGAGCTCGTGAGTAGTATTACTAGGTAAACAGTATAGAGTAATTTCGTATCTTTCGGCAGTTTCTACAATAGTGTGATCCAAATGGCATCTTGCACCATCAAATATGATAATACATGGACCAGCAACCTTAAATTCTGAAAAGTGTTAAAGCCAAACTAAAAACGTTTCAATATTCATGCTACCTTTTGCAGTCATTTGAACAACAGCACCTGGAGGTAGTGAGTCAACCCATTCTGGCTTACTACGTTTTAAAGTACCATTGGAGGGATTGCTGTACCGAGAGCATTACCACAAGAAAAAATGGTAACACTTTCTCCATGTTCGTTTGCAACAATATGTACTCTTCTAGCCCCTTTTTGCGCCAAAACTTTCTGCTGGTGGCGAAGTGTTAACCTGCAACCTTTCTCGTCTACATTATATATTCGTTCGGGCTGATCAAATATGTCCATTTCGCTTAAAATACCTTCCAGCTTAGTAAAATGATCTTTTACAATAAATTTATTAAGCTTTTGGGCCCTAGCCGGATTTAAGTTTTGTGCTTTCGTAGGTCTGATTTGAGGATTGCGCTTCATAAAAGCACGTAGCCAATAACGACCAGCTATTTCTTTGCTTTCTTGAAAAGGATTTGGGATATTATTGAGTTCTGTAAACCGATATACACACTTACAAAGTACCCTTGCAGTAAGTAGATATCCAATTTGCGAAAGACGGATAATACGTTGAACTAATTCTGCTTCTTGGGCATTTGTAAGTATAGTCTTTCGCCCTAGACAAGACTTGACTTGTTTTCCCTCTTCTAAATATCATCGAAGTGTCCGCCTTGGGATGTGATATGTACGACTAGCTGTGTTAACTGCGGTCCTATTTTCCACCGCTCTTAAAGCTGCTGACAAATTTTCTTCCGTCCAGTTGCCTCGTAGGCCCCTGCGCTGATACTGGGGCATTTTTTATTTCTGTAATAAAAGAAATAATATCAATACAGCAAACAAAATATGCATTGTAGAGTAATATGGCCACGTAAGATAAATATGGCCATGGCCATATAACCCTACTTTTCACCTGGCCATATTACTCAACACTGTATTTTGATATTTTGTCTAAGAAAAAATGTAATAAATCAAAATTTATACAATAAAATTAGAACATGTGCATGATTTTGAAGGTATACGAAACATGTAAGTACAATTAATATATTAAAAACTTACCTATTAGATTTAGTTAAGATTTTTTTTAAAATTACGAAATTATTAACCAGCTTCTGCAATGACGAGTTTTCACAACAATGTTGTATGGTTCTGACGTATAGAGAATGTGGCACCATCTGTTTAACAATTTCGGCACTAAATGTGTATTACTATGTATGTGTAATAGTAAGAAATTTGTTGGATGTCCATATTACTGTACATGGCCATATTACCTACACCTACCTTAGTCTTCTAGGCGGTTCTAACCGGTCAAAAAAAAACAATTATTCCAAAACCGGGTTTTAATTTTTTTTCTAAATAGCCAATAACCAATAGGTTATAATGTTACATTTAAATTGCTTTTTAGTTTGCAATACTTCATTTGAAATGATAATAATATCATTAATATTGATACTATCGAAAGAATATATCGATACCTAAGATAATCAATCGATATATAAACAGCAACTTTTTACCAGCAGATTTCACAACCCAAAGCCATAATAAATTCCGAATCACAATGTATCACAGTGAACCGTGAACAATTTGTCGAATCATGCTCTCATTCGTGCCACTATAGTATGCTGTCTATCTATGGATATAGCTCATTTATAGTCTGCAGTTTTACCGGTATTAATCTGAAAACTGCTGAAAGATTTACGCAAAATAATAAAATGCAAGAAAAATATTGTAAAAAAATATTTATTCCCAAATAATACACATTTGGAGAAAAATAAATGTAAAATGAAGGGCGACTTTAATAATTTACAAAAAAAAACATCTCAACTATTTACAAAAAAAAATTATATGTAACTTAATTATTTACAAAGCGATACAGCCTAATTATAATTAAATAAAAAATTCATGCACCTTAATTTAAGAGTGAAAAGCAGTCAATAATTCGAGTAATGCAGGCAACCTAATCAAGAATTAAAAAATATATCCTATCTGTATACCAGTCTGACGTCCCTTAAAATCATTATCTTTTCACAGAATCTTCCGGCAGTATTCGTCCAACTCAGACTGGAAATGTTGACGTGGTACTCCTCGCATTTTCTTCATGATGCGGATCTTTGCATCTAACCAAGACCGATCGATTCACTGTGTGTGCGCTCCTAATGCAGGTTCTATGTAGTACCTTTGGTGATTCACCCAAAATTCACCGTCCGATGTTCGAATCCCAGTCGATTTAGGATTGCATAAGCAGGCCATTAATTGTAATGGATGACGGGACCTTAAATAAATTTAAATATTAAAGACTACAGTCATCCTCGAAAACAAAAATAGTGGCAGTCTGTCCAATTTTTTACCACAAACAACTGTTAATAAGTGCTCCATGATTCTGTTGGTTTTTTTACTTAAGTACTGATATCCTCTTATTCTGCAACACAATTTCCTTCCATCATGAGTCCTCAGTTGTATTTTCGGCGACCAGTCAATTTTGCTTTATCAATTTAAATCGAACTTTTGTTTATTTCGATCATCAGGTCTGTTCTCTATATGAGACTATACAAATTTCTCGGAATATGTTGTAAAACCAAATATGTTGTTATACCAGTCGGCTACCGTATTCGCTGATTTCCCGGTTAGATAAACATTTGTTGTGGTTGACGGAATATCTTCCACGAACAAAACGTAATCTCCAAAATATCACATAGAGACAGCTTCGAATTGATACTGTTGTTAAGATCGATATAATGAATAAATACATCACCTTGACGAACAAACCGTGTTACTTAGCTGCCCTTGCGAGAATAACAAAGAACTGACTTCGATTCATTATCACAATCTCTTTGTTTCTTCTGCTGCATTGCACTTTCAGAACGATGGCAAGGGTGAGCCTCATCAGATACGTCAAGAAGACCATGTTGTCGAAGAAACGTCACAGCACACTCTTCTGATAAACTCACGGTTCTGCGGAAGTCTTTCAGCAACATTGTCGTTTCAGATATTGTGTTGTTGTTATATAATAGTAAAAAAAATAAGTTAATTGTATATTTTTTAAAAATGTTTATACTACTCTGCAATAAATATTT